TATATATATATATATAATATATGTATATATAATCAGCTCTGTGATAATATTAAAATCTTAAAGAGGAGTAAAAACCAATTTATTAAGAGCCTATACGCTGTTGCTGATACAAAATTATTTATTAGATTATCAAAATTAATTTATATACGTTTCAACCGACGTTTTTGATCCTTTTCAATGCAAAAAACATTATTTAATTACATATGATATTGGAGTCGATTTGTCACGTTTAAATTACAAAGATACGAAAATGTATCTTCAGGGTCATTTTTTTATACCACAATAGAGTCAATAGTTATAAAAATAAGACGCAAGTTCCGATTGACAGTAGTCAGTTGGCAGATTGACCAATATATAGTACCTACCAGTCATTCTTATAAAATAATGATTAAGCTAAGTCATTATGATATTCCAACAAATTATGTATGAATGTAAAGAAAATAGTACTCAACAACGGATATTATGTATCTTGATCATTATAAGAAAGATATAATTAGTGTGCTTCTGAATTGTATAAAATAAAGAATCGACTTATATGAAGAATCGAAACAGAGTGAAATTATTTTTATGTCTACGTCTTAGTGAAAGTTGAAACTGTAATGTACAAGTAAAACTGAGCGCTTATTACACGGAGTAAGACCTACCGTTGATCTAAGATCAACCTAAGAGAAATATATATAAATAAATAAATAAATAAAATTGTACACTGTGTAATAATAGTAAGATTCGCGTATGCTCTTAATTGGCGTTTTACTCCCTTTTAGTTGATTTATTCTCAGAGCACATATTATTAAGTTATATTGTAAAATATTAAACTTTTTTTATTTAACGAATGTTTTATTTGTAATTTTCTTTGTCATTATCGAGGCAAAAGCAGATGTCCCTTAAAAAGAGAATAAGATAGTTCAAAATCGGGCTGTTGCCACGAAAGAGGGCCTCCGTCCGATTAAAAGGGAAACGGTAATTTCACGTGCGGCTTAGTGGATCTATTTACGTAGCGTACAAAGGCAACGATAATTAGCGACGGACCTTGGTTGTACAACCTGATAAAACTTTCAGCTCAGTAACGACGCAACGCCGCGCTGAAAGGAAGCGAATTCGAAATGCATCTCCTCGAAATGAACTCGCTTCCGTCCTAACAGGCGTACAACGGTTATTATCTTGCACAAAATGTCCAATTTCGAAATAGAGTCGCGTAGTTTGGCGAAATCTATCCGTGCAAATTGCGCGCGCTCCTATATGTGCCTTCCTCGCGGATTTGTTAGTCACGTTCGTGATATATGTTTCACACGCGCCGCCACGTACGCGCGATTCGTGATACGTGCCGCCTAATACGAACGATGTTAAAATGAAATTAACGTGGACGATATCGTCGGGAGAACTCGGGCGCTCCGTGATTGACGTTACTTGGATAAGTTAATGCATCGCCATCCGCGTTAAAATATTGCTTTCACGCGCGCAGAATTTTATTTTATATTCTTATTCCTCTCATACACACACACACATACGCACACATCATTCGAAAGAAATTAATTAATTCGAGAAAGTTTTGTATTGCATAAAAATGGATCTACCTTGTTAATAATAATGAACAGTTCTTTTGATTTATCTTTCAATTAGATATTTAAATAATTACAATAATAATTTAATAAATTGTAAAATATAACATAATATTTTTGAAAATTGACGTGATTGTGGTGTGCACTAAGAAAAAAATATATCCTAAATTTCAATAAATATTTATTAAATATAAAAATATATTTATTTGGTATAAAAAAACATTAATTTGATTTAACAATCACTTCTTTTTACTAAGTAAATATTTATTTATTGTACTTACAATACAATTTATTTATATTGTAAGAATAAATGTTTAGTCGGCAATATATTCAAATAAATATTTATTTAAATTTAGACTATTTTTTCTCAGTGTAATATAACAGAAATCTTATCGCAATTCTATTACAGTATTTTTTAATAAGATGTTAGATGAAAGTCCGTTCTTTTTCTCCCTCTTACTACAGTTATATAGAAATACTTCCTGAAAATAGCTGTGAGTAAACGGATAACGAGCACATGTAACGGTAATCGCTCCATTAATGAGCTCCGTAACGCAAGGATCAAAATAATGTCCGCAAGGTATGAGAGACGCTGTTAGCGTGAATCCTTTGATAATTATAATTATATATATATATAGAGGCGTGGTGGGCGGAACACAAACCGACGCCGTCGTCCTCGTCGTCCTCGTCATCCCCGTTGTCGCGACAGCAGCTTTGCATTATTACGTTACGACGTTATCGATGCATGCGCGCGCGATGCGATGGAAAGACGGGAAGCTGCTGGAGCTAGGACGAAGGGACAAAGTAGCTTCTCCGGGTCCTTCCTTCCCTATTATCCGTGCTTGGCGGTCCGCCTTACTCGGCATGCATACAAAGCAGTATTTATAGTCGCTGTAACGGGACAACAGGCCTTTGCGCGACCTATCCCGAAGGGGAGAAGTCGAGCGAATATTCATCCAGGTCTCCAAACATTAATCGTTCCGCTTGCCGGCGGAGTGTCGCAAGTGTTGCAACACTTGCAACGCAAACTCGTCGAGATCGCGACTGCATCTTCGATACGCGCCATCGCTGTACGGGATCACTAATGCCGCCGCTTTGCGGCAAAGCGAAAGAGGAATTATCCGACGGAAGCTCTCCCGACATTACTTAATTTTCGTTCTGATTTCTTAGTTGTCGATCAGAATCTGGATTTTTAACCGTCGTCGATTGCACTCGGAAGCGCGTTATTAAGAAAAAAGAAACGCACGGGAAAAAATGACTGGCAATAATAGTTAAATTTCAATATCTGAATCGAATTTAGTTGTAAAAGCTGCAGCCTTAGTGTCATCTGGCTATTGCAGATAAAAAAAAACATTTATTGTGGCATGAAACTTTATTAGCTGAAATTAAAAGCATATATTAGTACAGGCAGCGGAAGGTAAGTGCAAACAGCTAATAAATTTAGCTTGAACAGCAACAGCATTAACTGTCTCTATTTTAAAGAC